AGAGGGGGAGTCAGGGGGGCGGGTGAGGTGGGGGTGGGGGAGCAGCTGAGGGAGGCCTCCTTTCTATACACAGCGGCGCGCACACACCTCACCCCACTGTGAGCGCCGTGCACCCTGCCTGAGGGCCCCAACCACACACTGCACTGACACCCGGGGCCACTGAGCGGGAACCCCCGTACCTCACTGGGCACTGACAGCTCTATACACAGAGAGCCGGGCACTGACAGCTCTATACACGGGCACTGACAGCTCTATACACTGAGACCTGGGCACTGACAGCACTGTACACTGAGACCTGGGCACTGACAGCACTGTACACTGAGACCTGGGCACTGACAGCACTGTACACTGAGACCTGGGCACTGACAGCACCGTACACTGACACCTGGGTACTGACAGCACCATACACTGACACCTGGGCACTGACAGCACCATACACTGACACCTGGGTACTGATTGCTCTATACATGGGCACTGACAGCACTATACACAGAGAGCCGGGCACTGACAGCTCTATACACGGGCACTGACAGCACCATACACTGACAGCTGGGCACTGCCAGCACTATACACTGATATCTGGGAACTGCCAGCACTATACATGGGCACTGACAGCACCATACACTGAGACCTGGGCACTGACAGCACCATACACTGAGACCTGGGCACTGCCAGCACCATACACTGAGACCTGGGCACTGCCAGCACCATACACTGAGACCTGGGCACTGCCAGCACCATACACTGAGACCTGGGCACTGACAGCACCATACACTGAGACCTGGGTACTGCCAGCACTATACACTGAGACCTGGGCACTGACAGCACTATACACTGAGACCTGGGCACTGCCAGCACCATACACTGAGACCTGGGCACTGCCAGCACCATACACTGAGACCTGGGCACTGCCAGCACCATACACTGAGACCTGGGCACTGACAGCACCATACACTGAGACCTGGGTACTGCCAGCACTATACACTGAGACCTGGGCACTGACAGCACTATACACTGAGACCTGGGCACTGCCAGCACCATACACTGAGACCTGGGCACTGCCAGCACCATACACTGAGACCTGGGCACTGACATCACTATACACTGAGACCTGGGCACTGACAGTACCATACACTGAGACCTGGGCACTGCCGGCACCATACACAGAGACCTGGGCACTGACAGCACTGTACACAGAGACCTGGGCACTGACAGTACCATACACAGAGACCTGGGCACTGACAGTACCATACACAGAGACCTGGGCACTGCCAGCACCATACACTGAGACCTGGGCACTGCCAGCACCATACACCGAGACCTGGGCACTGACAGCACCATACACTGAGACGTGGGCACTGACAGCACCATACACTGAGACCTGGGCACTGACTGCACCATACACTGAGACCTGGGCACTGACAGCACTATACACAGAGACTTGGGCACTGACAGCACTATACACAGAGACCTGGGCACTGCCAGCACCATACACTGAGACCTGGGCACTGACATCACTATACACTGAGACCTGGGCACTGACAGCACCATACACTGAGACCTGGGCACTGACAGCCCTATACACTGAGACTTGGGCACTGACAGCACTATACACTGAGACCTGGGCACTGCCAGCACCATACACTGAGACCTGGGCACTGCCAGCACTATACACTGAGACCTGGGCACTGCCAGCACCATACACTGAGACCTGGGCACTGCCAGCACTATACACTGAGACCTGGGCACTGCCAGCACCATACACTGAGACCTGGGCACTGACAGCACCATACACTGAGACCTGGGCACTGCCAGCACCATACACTGAGACCTGGGCACTGCCAGCACTATACACTGAGACCTGGGCACTGCCAGCACTATACACTGAGACCTGGGCACTGCCAGCACTATACACTGAGACCTGGGCACTGCCAGCACTATACACTGAGACCTGGGCACTGCCAGCACCATACACTGAGACCTGGGCACTGCCAGCACCATACACTGAGACCTGGGCACTGCCAGCACTATACACTGAGACCTGGGCACTGCCAGCACTATACACTGAGACCTGGGCACTGCCAGCACCATACACTGAGACCTGGGCACTGCCAGCACCATACACTGAGACCTGGGCACTGACAGCACCATACACTGAGACCTGGGCACTGCCAGCACTATACACTGAGACCTGGGCACTGCCAGCACTATACACTGAGACCTGGGCACTGCCAGCACCATACACTGAGACCTGGGCACTGACAGCACTATACACTGAGACCTAGGCACTGCCAGCACCATACACTGAGACCTGGGCACTGACAGCACTATACACTGAGACCTAGGCACTGCCAGCACCATACACTGAGACCTGGGCACTGCCAGCACTATACACAGAGACCTGGGCACTGCCGGCACTATACACAGAGACTTGGGCACTGACAGCACCATACACTGAGACCTGGGCACTGCC